TATATAATATATATATAAAATTCTTAAACTAAAAATACAATTTTTTTCACTGTGGTCTATTAGAAAAGAGAAGAAATTATCATTAGAGTAATTTAAATATATTCAGCGATGCGCAATACTATAAAAAGATGGAACAAGAAAAAGTTTAAAGAAGAAACAGTGTTTCTAAATTTTACTGAACTATTTTTTATTTACACGATATTTTTCTGCGGTAACGGGTGGTAAGTTAATTTTAATTTAATATGAATTAATTTTAGCGAACGATAAGCGAATATCAGTATTTCTGTTTATCGATGAAAAACTAACAGACGTGCAACGAATCAATAATATTGAAATCCAAATAAAGAATAAAATAACTGTTGTAAATGTCTTATGTATTTGCATACTAGTACAACAAAATATAAATATTATTCGTAAAAGATGTTCTTCCAGTCTAGATAAAACAAATAGCTGCCATATCTTAAAACTATCGTGTTTATGTGATGATTTATATTTGTTGTATTTTTGTAAGTTTTTGTAAGTTATCTTGCTGAGCAGAATCATACTTCATCGCAACTTCATCAACAACATCGTCAATGAATGAGGGGCAAAAGTTAAATAATGTTTAATAGAAATCATATTTTGAATTACAGTATTTCAGTCCTTTTTCCGTATAATTTAAATATTATTTTTGATTTTATATTTAATTAGCTTTCGCTTCCACTCTTCATTCAGGATCAATGATTTATCAACGTCATTTATTAATCTTATGCTTCCGCACGTGATCACGTCACCGTTGGTCTCTTATTCGGAGTTTTTATAAGCAGCACCCGGGCGGAAGTGCCGACGGAATATTCCGGCAAGTATAATACACATTTATGACGCGAGGGGGAAAACCGCGAGGCGCGCACCGCGAATCATCGTCTACCTATTGTTTTATTATAGACGACAGGATAAGGTTGGTTCCGGGGATAGTAGGGCGGCACGGTAATCTTTCTCTAGCAGCGTGAAATATGCATCTACAATTGCGAGCTTCACGGTACGCCAGGGATTATATTCTCAGCAGTCATACTTGTTGTTCTATTATACATGACGAGAGAAAGGTATTTCTCCTTAAGAAGAGCTTTTTCGCCCCTTCCATCCCTTTTTTTTTCTTGTACAAGAGGGGCCCGAAGTTTGAACTAGTCTTCTGTCATAATATTCCTTTCCTACATTGGAAGTATTTTTAGTACAGATTTTTATTTTGCGAGCTGAAGGGACTATAACTCCTTTGTCAAGATATTGTATATTGTATCATGATTTTAATGATCCATGGCAAAATCAAGGCTTAAACGACAGAATAATTATTAATCCTTTTAATTTGTCCGTAATAATTTGCCATAATAAATTAAAATATGTAGTTTAATCAACATATTATGATATTGGATTTAATATATAGTAAATGCATAAGGTATTATAGATGAGATTTTTATACAAATACCCTATTTGTAAAAAATAAATATTAATTAGCAATTTATTAACAAATGCGTTAAAAAGTTCTAATGTAAACAAAAAAGCTTTGCAAAAATATTTGTATTTATGATTTTATCAACTTTTCTTGATCGTCAAATACTTTCTATATAAGTATATACGCTTGTATGTACTATCATCTAAAATATATTGTTGTTATGTAAAATATATTGAAGTTAAGAGAAGCGCGCGCGCGTGTATACAACAAGAGGATCTATAAAGAATTTTGAATTAAGGGCTTGCTGTCATTTCACTATGTCAATGCATCATAGCTGTGTTTGGTAATCGTGAATCAAGTTTGCTTTTCGCAACAGAGATCCATGGGAAATTTGATTGTATTACCATCATGTACTGTGTACGCGGCAATCTACGAAAATAGGATTTTTCGAAATTATATGGCCCGATCCTTCGACTTAAAAACAACATCGATCATCTTCTTGATGCGAGCATACAACCACGTCTGCATATATACTTTGACTATTTCACATCATATCATTTATATATGGAGCATATATTATTTTTACAGCATAATTGTCTTGTTTTCTTGAAATTCTTTCGTGATATCCGATGAATCTTGATATTTTATATTGGAAGAGAAAGATTATTATTTGTTAAGTGTGTGTGTCATATTGAGATATAAAAAAAATATCAATTTAAAATAACCTCATTTATTATTGAACGTCCGTTAATTTGAATTGCATATATAATTCAACAAATATCAATCTTTGGACTTTGAATCTTTTATATTCACACTTATAGAAAAACATAGTGGTAGCAATTATACTGATAATAATTTTATATTATGTAGAATTAATATACAGAGTGTCTTAATCTTTTTAACATTCCATTTGTTTTGTGGGTAGGTAGATCTGACTAAACTGAATCGGAAAGTCCTCAACCATTTTGCAATTTTCGAAATTTTTTTTTTTTTACTCAAGCAAAATGTTTAAAATCGACATCTCTAAAAGTTCTTTAAAAAAACATCTTTAAGATATTTTACAAAAAACTCTAAAAGATATTTTGAAGTTGTCTTATGCGTCGATTTACTTAGCAATTTTTAGAAATTAATATTCCGTTAACTATTGCGAAAATTACAAAATGATATAGGACTTTTTGATTTAGTCCGATCTATTTGCCCACAACAACACAAAGCGGTGTATCAAAAAGTTTGGAACTCTTTATATATAGTTAAGTAAGTTATATTGCAACCATAAAATAGTTTATTCAAATATGTACATGAATTCTACGTATAAAATTTGTACAGTTGTCACCTACGTAGCTGGCAGCACTGTCTTTTTCTTTGAGTGCAGGGAAAGATTGAAATTGGTAAAAAAAAAAGCCGTGATTAAAATTACTAGACAATTTTTCGGAATTTTTGCGACAATTCAGCGATCACAAGTATCGTGATATCATTCGTATATATTCTGCATGTTTTATCAAGTAACGAGACAGTGGCTGTCTATACCGAGATTATTTCAAACATGCATTCCCAGCGTCGACCTTTTCACTTTGACGATAACAGGGACGACGAGAACGACGAGGGACGACCAGAGGAAATTTCTCATGGGCTGGATATTGGTTTCTCCGCAGTACACGAATAATTCCACCCTTGACAATATGTAGAACAGCCTTCAATAGAACTTCGCGGGAAAGGGGGATGCCAGGAAACATCGCGTTCCTCGAATTTCGTGCTTCCTTCTGAACTGCGGAATGGATTGCATTCTGTTCCTTACAAACCATCCTGCCTAACATACTTGGTTGTCGGATTTCTCGTTCTCTTCGTGTCGTTATATGTCCTTTGTACGCTTGTCCTTTCGCGTCTTTTAATGTTGTCTCTCTCAGAAGGCTTCGGTTTCCACACGTTCGATTTAGGACAGAGTGGAGAACGATTCTCTAGCAGCTATCCTACTTCCCGATGAATTACCTCGTTATTTTCGCGCAAGAGACATACAGAGCGGAACCTTGGACAGTCCCGACTTCGACGATGCGGTTGTTCAAACGGTTGTTTTCCAGTGTATAGTAAACGGCGGATGCGTCGGCAAACTGGCATTGAGTATACCTATGCAACTTGTGCGCGCCGCGCCCAGCGCGCGCGAGATTTATCGTATTACTCGTGTTCTCTTGTACTCCTTCTCTCACCTTGTTGTCATTATCACTTGCGTTTGTTTCTATCGCCATTCGGATCTCGGATCCGAATACGATCACGCTCTAAAATAGTTCGAGAATAATACTGAAAACGAAAACTACAGAACGTAATAGCGTGCAAGATGCATTATGCATACTTATTCCATAAAAAGGCATTCGTGAATAACCCAGTAACGGAATATTTAAAATGTAATGACGAGATTAA